GAGCTCTGCACGAAGCCCTATCAACTCCGGACCCATCTGCCGAGCGTGCTTAAGGAACTTGGTCGTGCCACGTTCCTTCTTCCTCCATCGCCTCGCATCAATGGCGGTCTTCCTCGCCCACGGGTCGGAGTGCGCACTGTGTTTTGAGTGCAACTGCTGGTGTACGATCGTTGTGACATTTCTTCATCTGCCATCGCTTTGTTGGTTGATGTTGGGACTTTCTCTACCTTTAAAAAGATTAGAGACTTGTGCAAGCGCACACGGTCACAAGTAATACTCGGAAGTAATCCAAGGTAAAATCCTCAGGGACTTGTTGCTTTTCAAAACTATTTGTAAGAAGTGAATAGTTCAAATATGCAATTGTGATTTAGGAAGAAAAATGTGACGAAATGTTGTTGTTTAGGGTTTTAACTAACAAGCAATTTAATAAGACTAAACCTCCTTGTCTCCTACCTTGGTTTTGATGCAAAACATGGAAAACACACTATGTTGGGAAAATGCACCAGGCGCAATTCCTAGCTTTTCTTGGGATTTGAGTTCTACTCTTTTACTACCGTTTTTTGTTGCTGCAGAGGCTAGGGTAACTTTCAATCATATTCCTATGTGTGATTACAATCCTAAAGAATATCTACCAACTCATTTGCATTATGGGTCAGAGGGTTTATGCCTAGGACCATATTTTATGCGCTTATTCCTAAGTCACATCCCATATTGGTTTCCTATTATTTTACCTAACTCACCTTTCCCAAGGTTGGGCTTTGGTGTATAAGTCAAGTTCCCACCGTCCGAATGGAAAAAAGACGTAAAGAGAAGTTTTTAGAAACCAACCCTAAAAACGTGTTCTACAACTAGAGAGCGTCTAAAAGAAGATGAAATGAAGCTTGGAAGGGATGGTTTGCTGATGGAGGGATATCCTTTTATAGGTTGGTTGAAACTCCCCTCCATTTTAGGTGGAAAAGGGTTGAGATTCACCTAACCACTTCACTTGGACTTGGAGTCACGGTTTTGAACATGTGGGAAATGTCTTCCTTGCCCTTCATTAATCAAAACGTGCATTTTGACAATTTGCCCTCCAAAAATGCGCCGGGCACAATTCTGCAAAAACAGAATTCTGTTATTTTCTTCCAACTTTGACCGCATTTATCTCATATTTTTCCTAAAGTATCATAGTTTGACTTTTATGCAAAAATAATCTATGCATATTCTACTTTAAGAATATGTGGTCTTTTTGGCAAATAATAATGGAAAATGGGTAAAAAATGTGGTCAAACAGCGCTACCGACACATGTTTCTACAGTAAAAAGTCAACCCTAACAGTTGACCACAAAGACTGCTTTGTCGATTTATGATTCAAAGAGAACTCTCGTCCCCACAGACGGCGCCAATTGTTCTTACAAAAAATAACCGGTAATCACAATAGAATCCTGAGAACACTCTTGGATTTGAACCTGAAAAAACAAGTAAGCACTCTGTCGATCTAATTAGTCTCTGTGTCAAATCAATTAATTAGAAAGTTCAATAATCAGTTTTAGCATACCATCTTTATTTAACCATGTGGTATTTATAGATGGGTAGTGGTCAAATGACCGTTGAGGAGCTTGGCTCCTTTTTTGAATTACGCCGTTAGTTTTCCATGAAAATAGGAAACTGCACGTTGAGTGGAGAGTGGTTTGGCTGTTGTGGCGTAAAAAGAGGGGTAAACTGTTTATCGTAAAAAGAGGGGTAAATAATTTGTATTAAATTATTTTTTCACTTTATTGTTTAGTAAATTAGTATGCATAAAATTTAAATAGTTTTCTTGGAAAATTGATATAACATATTATTAAATTTTATATTCACGTAATAAAGCACACAAAAAACTATAACATAGACTTGTAAAATTGTAAATAGACACTCATTCTTAAAAATTAATACAAATTACTCAATACATATTTGTATCAATTTTCGTTTCCAAGAGAAATTACCATTTTTTTATACAATATTGAATTAAACTTAAAATATTCGTTCATATTTTAGTAAAAAAAGTATTTCTTCAAAATAATATAAATATTTAGTTGATTTGTGAAAGGTTATTTAAATTAAATAAGTAATATTATAACTAACCAAACAATTACGTTGTAACTAACCAAACAATAATTTAGGGATATGGATTTTGGATTTCACAAAAAATAATGTAAATTAGTTTAAAAAATCATTACATATATATTTGACCTAATTACAAATGTTTAAAACTAAAAATAGGTTCAATAGAATATCCAACAAATTTTGTAACAAAACCCCCATTTTTTTTCCCTTGATTCTCTCTCTGATTTTCTCAGTTAAATTTGCTGAATAAGTAGTGGAGACTGTGAGATGAACAAAATCAAATTACAGTGAAAAAAAAATGGGCGATCGAATAGATAGAGGTGTGAAAGCTGCAGCTGCTCCTGCAAATAATCAAATAAAGATAGGAAGGTTATGCTTCGACTGTTACGACACCGTTTTCTGGATTTGTACGTCTTTGATTTCCATTGGAGCTAATATTGCATTTCTCTTATCAACTTCTCTGTTGACAAATATGAATGTCGTTGAATATTCGTGTCTCATTTGGGCTCTTCTCAACCTCGTTATCCATTCATCTGTGTGGCTACTCTTTAAACATGAATTACTACGTTATGAGCACGGTGGACCTCCAACAAACACCAAAAACAAGAACAATTCTGACCTTTTGATTTCCCTGTGGAATCTTGCCCCGTTTCTTAAATCTATTATGCACCTTTCTACCCTTCCTCTCTATCACTGGGCTTCGCATCACTTGGAAAACGACGTCTACTCGGTTCGATGGCTCATCAGTCTTTGCTCCACCTCCCTCTGTTTATCTCGATTGTACCGATGCCAGGTTGATTGCGGAGTTTTTAACGCTCTCATGGGCATCACCATTGCTACCATTGTTAAGGCCAACTTGACTGGCGCCAGCTTGTTTTTCTATGGAGGCATTCTCACTTCACTTATATATGTTAAGAATCTGATGATGTAATCAGCTTTGTTTTCTATTTTTCATTTGCTTAATAGGTAAATTGTTTTCTTTTTTTTTTTAATTTTAGCTTGTTATTTTTGTATTCTTTGTGGACAATAATTTTGTATTCTTTTTTATGTTTTTAAAAGTATCTATTAATTTCAAGGGTACTCAAAAAGAAAATATATATATCTAAGGAAGTAAAAAACAAACAATAATACTTAGATTAGAGAATCTTTGATTTTAAATAATTGGGGTAGTTATATAGATAGAAAAACACACTTGGCAGAGTGCCCATCCGTAAAATGTTTAATTTAAACTAAAAATGCATAGGTAGATTTGATGCGAGAGAAATTAAATTATTTATTAAAACAATTGATGAGAATTATTTATATTGTTGGAAAACATTTGAGAATTACATATTTGTTAAACCCCATACTGAAAATATTGCTTCTTGTTCAAATTTAGAACAATATAGTTATCGATAATTATTTCTTAAAAATGAGAGCAAGCAAAATCAAACTTTGAAAAAAGTATTTAAATTTTTAAAACAGTACATTTAATAATTAATATGAAAATTAAAGTTGGAGTAAAAATTAAGTTATCCAACTAACTAATTTCCGCAAAATCTCATGGATGAGATCATTTTCTTCTGTTTCAGATTTCATCCATTACTCATGTATTTATCCCTCCCTTTATATCTGAAACCCTAGTTTCGTTTTGGAAAATTGCCGTGGGTATCAAAAATCTATTTCAAAATATATGTCTATTTTTAAAATTTTTAAATATAGTAAAAATTTTCAAATTATTAATGGTAATATTTCGTTTTAAAAAAATGGTAATCTTTAATTTGAAACAGTTAATACGAAACTGTTGCAAGGATCCCTTGGCTGCTAAATCACTGCAGTAATTTATTAGTATTTTTTCCACCTTTTTCTCTGGACAAATATGTGTTAAGATTCTTTACTTGTTTAAACTTTCCTTAGTTAATTCTTATCCTATATAATTATTCTCCTCTTCTCCCATTGGAGAATCATTATGTGTTGCTAGAAATCGCTGCAAGGGTTAATTTTTCGTTTGAGTTTCAAAAAAAGACGTTGCAATGCAACAAGACGGGCTGCCGATCTCATTTTGGAATATATTAATATCCCTCCTACTAGCAGTGCTCGCGACAACCTTTGCGTCTTCATCTAAACTAGTGGCAAATATGTGGGAGGATATAAAAACGGCTTCCTCTTCTTGGTCAACAAAATCGACTTTTTTTTATAATTATGACACTTTCACGAAGTACTCTCACTTAGTCTTCCCATATTGTTAGTGTCTCACGAAAGCTAATGTAAGGTATTACTATAAAAAGCAAAAGAAGCCGAGACAATTCACAATTCAAACTCATCCCACAGGTTCGAAACAATGAAGATGTGGCGGTGAGAAGAAAGTCAAAACATGAATTAAAGTAGAGTTAAAGAGAATGGCGTTACTCATAATTTCTTCACACATGTCCAGATTTCCTTCAAATCACAACTCCAAATCTGAACCACAAGAATTCAACGCAGACGCATAACAGAGCATCCAAACAGTACAAGACCACAAATCAAAGACGTATCATACGAATGACAAAGTTCAAACCAAAAAAAAAAAGGAAAAAAAATTGAGATCGCGGGGTAGAATTCAGAAATGATTGAACGCGAAATTAGAAAGTGGAGTTAAAAGTGAGTCAAATCACCGAGCAAACAGGGAAGGAAAGAAACAAAAGAAGCAAACAAATCTTTTTTATTTATGTTTCGTAACATATCATTGAAAAAAAAAATTATTTTGATTATTTCCAAAATTTCGAAAATGAGAAACAAAAAACATAATCACTTGCAAAATCCTTAAATTTATGAGAAACCAGAAACATCAACGTTTACGAGCCCTAATTCTCTAATATGTCTTGTTTCTTGTTTTCAATTTTCTTAATAAATCTAAGCATTTTACAACTAATTATAGTTTTCGTTTTTTTCAATATCATCCTCCTCGAAACAACGCAAAACAAGATTCTCATTTCTTATTTTCATTTTCAATTTGTTCAAAACAAAAACAAAAATAAATTCCAAACCTCAAATTCGGCTGTTCTTGCGGGGATGATGATAAATGAGTGCGCGTCAGCCGGCTCTAGTTTCCAACCGTTCTGCACGTTCTTCTCAAAATTCAAATTAATTAATATCGTTAATATCGTTTCTAAATTTAGTTCTCTCCCCCTCTATTTAAAAACAGTGACAGCTCACAAATAAAACCAAAAACTTCTTCTATAATTATCAAAAAATAAAAAAAAAAAAAGCAAAAGAGACACAAGCCATGCATCCCACAGAAAGGCATATGGTTCTGTTGCTTGTGTTGGCAAGTCTGTTGGTGGTGGCTGATCAACAAATAATAACCCAAATAGGGCAGGCACTGAAAAACATACCTGTAAAGAATCCTGATACAGCTTGGCACATTCATGTGGTGAATGGGCTGAGCAAAGACTCTTTATTTGTGCACTGCAAATCCAAAGACAATGACGTTGGCTTACACAACTTGGCTCGTGGATTTGAAATCCAATGGAGCTTCGATGAGAACGTTTGGGGGACGACACTATTTTGGTGCTTCTTGCGGAAGCCCGGTGCCACTGCCTCGTTCGATGTCTTCTGGGTTGAAAGTCGTCATAATTGGCTCCACCATAGGTGCGCCATATTAACTTGTATTTGGATAGCCAAAGATGATGGAATTTACTTGAGAAACAATTCCGATCACATCGATGAATTGATTCACAAGTGGGGTAAGTAAAACTTTGGCTCATCTTTATTATAGTATTAATAAACAAAGATAAATTATTTATGAAGGGGGCAACAAATGAAAATTAGGTTATTTACCTAATACTAGTCAATGGCGGATCTAGGATTTGATTTCAGGGTAAGATATATCACCATAAACTTTGATAAGCGTTGCAATCAGGTGCTATACGAAATTAATAGCATTTAGACAAAAACAACATTAAAGCTTTTTTTTTTTATAATTTGTAAGTTTTAGAAGAATTAATTAAATATTGTTTATTTGGTGAAATTTGTGAGCTTGATTATCGCTACATTAATTATTTTTTGGAATTTTTTAAAGATTATTTTTATTTTGGATTAATATGGGTAAATTAGTGAAAATTATAGAGGATAAAAATGGCAACAATTACCAAAACTTAGAGTTATATGTTGTAATTGAAAGTTTATGAAAAGATTTGATATTACTCCCCAAGTTTAGGGGGGTAAAAAATGATATTTTGCAGAATATAATAAGTATGACATTAGTTTGCTCAGTACAAATGTTACAAGTTATTAGTTATTGTAAAATAAATAAAATAATAATAATTTTATATATACATAAACTAATATTAGCTTGTCCAAAATAAAATATAATTAAATTATAAGAAAGATAATGTGTATTCATCGGTAATTAGCTCTTGAGTTCAAATTTTGTCACTTTTATCTAGTAATAAAAAGAAAATATTTGTTTTTTTATTATATATATGTTAGTAAATTTAAATTTACTAAAAAAATATGAGCCAAAAAAAGATAAAATAAAATAACTTCTTTTAAATAAAAAACTATTTATTTTTTAAACCATACCGATTAAAATTACATTTTTTTTCGAAAACATATTAAAAATCAAATCTTGACCTCCCGAGATATTGATTTTACCCTCAAGAATCCAAGAATATCGACCTCCTGAACATTTCAAAGGTTCTGGGTTTTTCCTTTACCAAAATTTTAGTTGAAGATATTTAATAAAATTAAGAAAAATAACATTTATTGTATAATATTATATACATTTGTCAAATATCATACATGTAATCAAAATAAAAATGTTAAAAAGATGATCAATAAAATCACAAAATAAGAGAAGAAACATATTCCAAAATAATGTCGAAAGAATTAAACTTACGCTTGGAACATAGGTAGGCAAAACATTATATGAGGAAGTACATCAATCTACTTTATTTGATAACAACATGGAAAACTTACCGTCTTGAGAACAAAACTCTAGTTTTTACATTCTTATTCAAATGTCTCGCGAGTCAAATGATGAAGAAGAAAGTTGTGGTGAAAATAGTTTATAGTGCAAACTTTGAAAGAAAATGAATAAGGAGACAAAAAATGAAGAAAATAAAACAAAAGTAACTATAAGGGAATGAAAGAAGATAAAAGAAGTTAGGTGAGTAGAAGAGAAAAAAGAAAAAAAGTAGAGAGCGAATAAGGAGACAAACCTTAGGAGAGATCAAAAAATGAGAGTAGTAGTCTTAAACCTTAGGAGAGATCAAAAAATGAGAATAGTAGTCTTTCTTTGTGATGTGTTTCGCCATCCCCTAAACCTAGTCACCTAATTCACAAATGGAAATAATATTTTTACTAATTACACAATCAATCAAATATTTTATTACAAATTTTGATTTTTACCCCTAAATCAAATTTAAAACTTTTCCATAAATAGTATTTTGTTTTACTTTTATTGAAAAGATTTTATTTTGAGAAAACATGGAAATTCATATTTAATAAAAAAAAATCTTTATTATTTTGTTACTTTTTTTATTAAAAATGATTTGATTCTAAAAAATAGTAGGATATTTAAACCAAATACTTTTTATTTATTTTATTTTATTTTTTGATAAAACAAACAAAAAAAAGAAAATATTTCCCACAGAATATAAAAAGATAATTACTATAAATTAAGTAAAAAAAAGAATGATGAAATGGAATATCAGACAAGTTTAGGGGTCCACAGTTTGTCCCCCTTTGTTCATCCTTGTAGAATTAAAAGGTGGACAAAGGCGTAGACCTCAATTTCTTCAATATTCTAATTTCATCGAATGATAGATGAGAATAAAATTTAAAAGTAAGAAGAGAAAAACGGCAAGAGGTAAACCCTAAACCGTAATTCAAAGACAACTAGGGGCAAATGCTAAACCGTAATCGGAAGACAGCTATGGGTAAACGCTAAACAGTAATTTAAAGACAACCAGGGGTAAACGCTAAACTGTCGAATGTGGGACGACTAGAGGTAAACACTAAACCGTAATTTAAAGACAATCAGGGGTAAACGCTAAACTGTCTGATGTGGGACGGCCAGGGGTAAACACTAAACCGTAATTTAAAGACAGTCAGGGGTAAACGCTAAA